AAAGCTAATAGATTTCATTGAGTTAAATTAGAAAATAATTTTAATAAGATGATACTATTAACATACAAAAAAATAGCAGAATAATAACTGCAGATTCAATAATGTTATTGAAACAGCCTATGAAGCTCTTTCAGCCTATAGATCACATATTGCAAACAAATAATCTGAACAAAAAGTTCCACCAATATTTTGGAATTTCTGTGCATCCTTCACAATCGCTAATCAATATCCAAAAACGGCACACGTTTAACCCCCCGAAACTGCACATCATCATCTTCTCTCTTTTGTGGCACCAATGTGAATACTTATGGCACGGGCAGGGGAAACAGTGTTGCAGGAGTCTAGTGTGTGGTGCAGGAATAATAACAAGGGAACCTGGGGAGCTTTATGTTCACATTGGCCTAAAAAAATAACGGACCGCGGAATTCAAGTGAACCGAACTCAGACCACCTCTCCAGATGGTCTCAGTTCGGTTCGCTTCAGGGCCTCTTTTGAAGGGTCTGAGTTCCTTTGGAGCGAACCACACTGAGTTCACAAAAACTTGTGGAAAGGGAAAACACTGACTGTATTGTTTGAATGGAATGATGGCATATTGGCAGTTCATTTGAACAATTTATGGAATCATTCCCCTAAAACTGTCTGGATAGCTAACAAACATACAGTGCAGATAAATTCTTCAAATTCATTATTTTACACAACATCTCATCACAGCTCTGGCAAACCATGGTTGACCAACTCCCTGACCAAAATGGCCAACCTTTATCCCATCATAAGAAGGTTCATGTCCATTCTATTATTCTAATTCCTAATTCTATGGTCGTCACTTTCTGGGCAAGTTAGGAAGTCATAAACCCCGCCCATTTCTACAATTTATGTTCTTAATATGCCTTATGACTTAATAATTAAGCAATAAGGCAACTCGTGGGTTTGTGATATATGGCCAATATACCACGGCTAAGGGCTGTATCCAGGCACTCCGCGTTACGTCGTGCATAAGAACAGCCCTTAGCCGTGGTATATTGGCCATATATCCCAAACCCCCCCCGAGTTGCCTTTTTGCTATTATAAACTGGTTACCAACGTAATTAGAGCAGTAAAAATAAATGTTTTGTCATACCCATGGTATATGGCCTGATAACACGGCTTTCAGCATTCAGGGCTCGAACTACTCAGTTTATAATTATTAATAACACCTAATAGGTGTGTTTAACAAGGGAAATAGTTTGAACGTTGGCTAACATTCAATTTGCTTTGTGTTAGCCGCAACTGTTTGCTAATGTGCATTCTCAACTGCTTCTTTTAGGCTACCTGCAGCACACACCTTCAACAACAAAATTGCCAACAAGATCCCAAATATTAGGAGGCCTGAGGACTGAAAAGGAACAGATGGTTGTATTGATGCTAGGCCAGGGGGAGATCCCACTATTTCTTACATTACCTATTCCTTCTAAATCCATGAAGAGTAGGGAGTGAGCATGCGCATCGGGAGAAGGGTGGAATCGCACTGTAGTAGACCTACGCGGAGAGATAAATCATTTTTTCAATACACAGTAGCCTCTACACACAATCAAAGCCAATAATCTAAGTATGTTTTCAACCCTTTATTACAATGTTTTTTTTTTCTCATTTAGGTATACAAGCTCAAAAAGACAAACATTGAAAAAATGTATATTTCTGTTATTAAAAATGGCACATTTATTGCTACATTACTGTTATATACACGACAGTTCTCAATATCTACTTTATATATAAAAAATAGGAAACTGGAGGCACTTTGAGGACAAATGGATTCTGTCCCCAATGTAAGAGAGACAGTGGGTTTTGTAGCAGTGTGTCCATCTGTTGAACGGGGCAGAGATTGGCAGACCATGAGGGGCCCCCGGCAAAATACTAGTTGTGCATTTTGACAAGGGAAGTTAAGGATACTGTACTTAACATTCAGTTAATATTAACAAAAAGGAACATAACATCAGCGATGTTGATTTTTTCCAAATCTCATTCGAGTAATAAATCAAAAGACAATACATGTCCTCTGTGAGACAGACAAACCAATGGCAGTTGAGGTGGAAATAATACATTACCAATACGAATGCTTAGGGTTTAATCTGGAGGATGGTTATTATGAAAGACAAACTGACAAAGAAGTCAAGAAAATACTGTTACAATTCAGTATCACTCTGCACGGGAAAATACTGTTTAGTTGATCACTAAAACATAAACTGGCCAAGTCCTGTATAGGTACATACAGGACATGTCAATTTCAGATGTTTGATATGAAAACAAAAATGAATCTCTGCCCAATTCAGTAGAAAACAAAGTTCAGAATGTTGCAAATACAAAATCAAAAGAATGGGCATGGTACCCTATTCCACATGAGTATTGTGTCCAAATCGTCAATGGTTTATACAGAAGATAAAAGGTCTGGGGACACTCCTATTACAGAAACTGGTAATAGGGCTCAGTAAATCGAAGTGGACTCAGTTGTTTGCCAAATTCTGGGATGCCCATCACCGACAAAGAAAAAGCATAAAAAACATTACTTTATTATTTAATTTTACTTTGGGCGCTAATAAGAACAATATTCATATAAATGTATTGAAACATTGCCCCACTCTTCCCTCCCATGTCAACCTTGATTATCTGTTAAAGGTTCTCTTGGAAAGCCACACATGCAGTGACAATCACAATTCAATAGTGAAGTTCAGGCACTGGTGAGTAACCACTAACAATGATCCCAAAGTCAGGAGAATGACTAAGGTTGCCATATTCATCCTTTCCTCATATCTTTTTTTCGGTTTGTTTTGAAATGTTTAACGTCATGTTTTACTAGGACCAACAGACATTAACAATACACCAACTGAAGACCTGGCAAGCTGAAAGGTATTGCTATAAAATGTAACTTGTATGAAACACAACACAATTTTGTTCCTTTTTCAATAGTTTGTACTAAATGTTTGCGTGACAAAGCTTGCCAAAAGAGCCCCACAGTAGGAGTCATAATACCCATAAAACCTAGCAGTCAAACAGGGAAATGGTTCCAATTGTTTTTCCACCATTCATTTTTCACACAGGGGATTTTAGAAACACTTAAAATAAGGGCTGCCGTGTTTCATGTAGGCTTACCCTGCCGTGACGTTTTGACAACCATGTAAATCTCTCTCAGACAAGGTGAATTGTATCAATATATTCGGCTCCATTTACTCTGATTCGAATATGCTAATTAGCATCAAAGTAGACATCATGCAAAACCACAAATCCCTGCAAGTCATCTCAAGCTGACACCTTTGCGAACAGGTATTGCGTCAATTTAGGACTTGCACAAGACCGTTCACAGAATTGTTAATTTAAAGAAATGTAGCCAATTTATTAATTACAACAATTAGCTAACAGATAGTTAATCCAGAGATTACCTTTCACCTCGATTCGGCAGTCTTGACCAGATCATCATGGCATTTGTAGTTGTTTATGATAGCCACATTAGCGTTTCATTTTTTTTTTTTTTTGGGGGGGGGGGGGGGGGGGGGGGGGTAAATACAGGCGAATATATTGATAAGTCACCTTGTCCTACACAGTTAACAAAACGTCACGCCAGGGTAAGCCTACACAAAACACAGCCCTTATTTTAAGTGTGCCTAAAATCCCCTATGGGAAAAATGAATGGTGGAAAAACAATTGGACCCATTTCCCTCTTTGACCGCTAGGTTTTATGGGTATTATGACTCATACTGTGGTACTCTATACTTTGACATTTCCATTTTCCTTTCATACTGAGTAAGTAGTAGTAACTGGTTTAAATGATGTATACAGACCTTTAGCAGTTGTTTCTGAAACAGACATTCTCCAAATGACCAGTACTTCCAAAACGGTTTGAGGATGTTCTAGCCAGATTAGGAGTTGGCATTAACTACTTTCACCCCAAAGCAACTGGCACGTCAGGCTTTTCCCAACATAAAAAAAGAGATCACTACATTTGGGCTGGAAAGAGAGACACACTTAAAGTTTGTTCCTGGCATCTTTAAAATGAGTCGTCTTACATTTAAACAATGTAAATGAAAAGAAAGTCAGCAATCCAAAAGAAAACTCATACAGCTATCTTACAAAGTAAAACACAAACAAAACACTTCTACAAAAAGGAGGATCCTTACAAACAGGCTTTGAAAATTGTTCAAAACACCCAATGCTTCCTGTAATTTAAGGAATAAAAATTGTCCATTGATAGCAGTTGAATGCATTCAACAGAAAATATCAAATGACATTTCAGGATCCACCCCACAAAATGAACCTTCCTGAAGTCCAACAGCCATTCCTTCTGTACTGGAGAGGCTATACGGATACGGCTGGTGTCCAAGTTGATGACGCAGCTGAGGGTCGAGTGGAGACGAATGGCTTCGGTCCAGTCTGTTGTCCTGATGAGCCCTTCCCAACTAGCTAGTTTATGCTGGCTAGCTGGCAAAAACAGCAGCATGGCGCTAGTTAAAGAACTTGTAAAAGAAATATGTTTATTTCTATGTGCGATGTTGTGGTATTGGTCTAACGTAACGACAAGCCGGTGCGAATGACGAGGCGCTTGCCGGGCAGCAGTATAACCTATCGCCAGCGGTAGTTAAAGTTGCCAATTTGTTCCATCCCACTTGATTTTATTTTTGAGTAGGATAGTAGGCTACAAATAACTTGTACTATTGGTAGTAACCATCTGGATGAACAATTACTCTGATTAAAACGGAATGATTCTGAACACTCTTCCAAGTCCCAACTTCGGCAGACAAGTTTCAAATTCTTGCTGTATTTTCTAGCCACAAGCATAAACTAGCTAGCTGGGAAGGGCTCTTCATTACGACTGACTGAACTGAATCCGTTCATCTCCACTCGAGTCAGCTGCGTGACATAAGTCATCGATTTGGGCAGCGAGCGTGTCCATATAGCCTCTCCCCTTTCATAATCTTCAAATTAACTGTAGTCTACTTAAACTGACTAATTTCCTTCCATCTTACATAAAGTCTTTAAGTTCGCATGACCTGGACATCTAGGTTTGCCTTGCCAACTGACGACACTTGCTGAACAAACGTGAAGAGGAGAAGTCAATGAAGGCAGGTGGTTGACTGAGTTTGGGGCAGAGTATACTGACCATGTGTCCACATGGCCTGGCTGAAATGGAAACAGAACAGGTGGGGTAAAGACGGGTAAGGTAGAGGGAGTGGAGGGAGAGAGGCTTGCTCTGGTTCAGAGCACACACACTTCCTGCATGTTTCAGTCCAATCTCCCCAAGACAGAGTGAGGAAGTCTTGAGATGACCATGCCCGTGTGATCCTGTGGAATAGTAGGTGAACAGGGAGTGGTTTTCAGCTAGTAGCGAGTCATCATGACCTGTCCTGGGTCTCGGTATGTATTGATGAGCTCACCTTCCTCACTGGCAGTCCTTCAACTCCACTCATGGCAGTGACAACAAACAGATGAGGACAAAAATGGAAGTCTTGTAGGATCCCTGGATTAAAAATTAAAAAAACACACCATACTAATCCTTCAGACGGGCCTGTGTCTGGGCAGCCCTTATGAGAAGGCATAAACAAAGAAATATGGCCAAAGTTAGCTAGGGTTTCTTTTTATCATTGTGCTATATAACAGCACTCTGCCTGCCAATTCAATAAGTGTCCAATTGTCACTATGACAGTCCAGTCCTTTCAATTCTGGTGGGGTGGCTGGATACCTCAAACTCTACTTCTGTGTTTGACATTTTGAGAAAAAAATAAAAATGGTGGTGGGGACGACGACGATTGTAACTTGCCCAGCCTTGGCGTTATGCATGTTCTCAGGCACATAGTTACTCATACAGGTTAGATTCTGATGTCACCTTTTCTTGTAATGAAAGTAAGACCTCCTTTTCAGGTGGGAATGGCAAATGACTATCAAAGGACACAAAATCCTAGGTTGCGCACATGAGCAATTGATCCAAAAATACTATTTGATCCAAACAAATTTTGCTCCCAACATGTAAAGCAACTTCTTCAAAATGGCTTACAAAAACATGACCATTAGACAAAAAACTGTTGCGTTTACATTTCCTCTGCCTGTGATCCAGTCTCTCCTTGGAGTTCAGGGTGTGTTTACTGTAAGTAATCTTCAAAACTCTGTGTGTGTATAGGTGTGTATGTTGCTCGTGTTCATGGTCAGGAATGTGGCCACTGGCGTTTGTCAGTTTTGTGTCTGTGTCCGTCTGTCTGTGTGTGTGTCTGTGTGAGAACGCGCTTCTCCACTATATGTGCTAGCATATATAGAGAGCACCTTTGTGGATTGACGCACACTGAGATGCATGATAAGAGAGTAAGGCCACGTCTTCTAAGAGCTGTACAATCAACAGGATCAGGAGCTGGAAGAGAGAAACAGGGATTGTTATATTATGGTAACACACACATGCCACAACAATACATGTGATATGGACAGTTACAGTATGACAGCAGACAATGAGAACTTACCTCGGTGTTACATATGGCTCACAGAGTTGTGTCCATCGCCCCCTAACCCGGGGTGCCCCCCTCCCATCTGCATCTGGGGGTCCACCCCCGAAACCTTCTCTTCCTCCCTCCGCTTCAGACATGCTGCCTTGGGGTTCAGGTTACGCTCTTTAGGAAGAGGCGACACAGGTTAGAATCAGAGGGGTGAAGTGGAACTACAGGTTTTGTCTGAAACTTCAGGTAAACCAATGGTGAGCACAATCGAGAAAATTGTCAAAGAGATGGAAGCAAGGGGCAGAAACATCAGGTTTCACAGTATATTCTAGTAAACTGAGAAGGTTAGGCGTATCGAAGAACGAGAGATGTTAAAAACAAAAAGGCAGGGAGATGTGACAGGCAAAGAAGGTATGATTAAGGTGTAAATGCTGCGAGATTCTAGTCATGAAACAAATAGAAAAGTATATCATCGAAAAGCATGGAGGACAGAAGACCAAAATGGAGAACGGAAGAGACAGCTGGACAGGACAGACGAACGACCAGACGGCAGCAGTGGTGAGGTCATTAAGTATTTGACAGAGGTGCAGCCCCCATCTTCCCCAGCTCCATCTCTTTTTGCTCGCCCTCTTTCCATTGTCCAAGAGGATAGAAGGACAGTCAGAGGCAGGTGAGCGCATGTAGAGGTGAGAGTGCTGATTGGGTGGTTGAGTGGAGGTAGAGGGCCTATAGGTGAATCCTACTGGATCTGGTATTTTTGGTAAGGAAGCCTTCCACAGCTAAAAGGAAGCCCTACGTCGCACCTGCATCTCCAGGCACAGTATGATCTCTTTAACCGTCATACTAGTCAAGCGCTAGTTGACTGGTTGGAGGTGGACATTACTGGGTCGGTTGGTACAGGAAGCCCTAATTTGTACCTGCTTCTCCAGGCCCCGTATTAAGAGCTAATTGGCTGGGTGAAGGTGGTGGGCGGTTCTGGATCTATTCGTAAAGAGAGGCCTACCTCGGACCTGCTTCTCCAGACCCATTATGACCTGCGCGGCCTGCTGCAGGATGATGAGTTTGGTTTGGGCCTTGTCGCTGCGCAGGTGCACCTGCACCATCTTGCCCAGCTCCCTGAACGCCTCGTTAATGTCACGCACGCGCACCCTCTCCCGGACGTTGTTGGCCGAGCGGCGCTCCCGCTCGCGCTTCTCCTTCTCCTCGGCCGTCAGGTTCTCATCGTTCAGCGAGGCTGTGCTGCAGCTGCTGCTGCTGAGGAGGGAGGAGGGTCGTTATGGTATACCCCAACACCTGCTGCTTTTACCCTCCAAGTTGCCCCTACAGATTTAAGTTGCCCCTAAATACAGCACTAAGGACAGTTTCTGCAGATAGTTTCTGTGGATAGCAAATTGCTGTTCCAGGGTCTGTTCCTGTCTTTTGTCTGGCATAGTTAGCTCATCATTAGATCTGATCCTAGACGAGCATTTAGGGGCAGCCTCTCCCTGGAGTGTGCCCTCAGAGGGGCTAGAGCATTCCCTGCTTCCTGCACACTACTCAATTCACATCCTAGAGCAGACGGCCTGGTTGGCTGACCGTGACAGCATTCATTATTTAAGTGCCATATTTGGGCAGGAGGCCAGCAGCAGAAAGCTGCGGAGGTCCGGATGGACAATGTATTCCAGTGAGGAGGTGGGGGTCACGAATGGATGATCCCAGTGGAGTGGTGCCAAGGTGCAGGAGAGCGAGAGATCGAGCGGAGGGATGGACCGCCAAAAATCATTTTCTTTCTTTAATATGTTTTTTTTATTTTTTTATAGAGGAATCCTGAGGCCAGAGCACTACTGTTACTGTCAGCGAAGGCACCGCGTAGGTCCTTGCAAATTATATTCACATCTGAAGAATGAAAATTGGCATGTAACAACCAAACCGTTTTCGCAAAGCAACTTTATTACTTCTCTGCAGACTTTCACTTGGCCAAAATAGATCATTTTAGGGTTATTTTGTAAAATTGAGCGTTTTGAATGTTGAGCCGTTATGAGTTGACAACTATCAGACCAAATGTTCCAAATGGAATCTGACAAAGCCAAGACAAGTCTGTCTTCTGCTGATCAGGGTCCAGGGTGGGAGTCAGAGAGGATAATATGAGGACTTTGGGGGGCTGTCAGTGAGGAGGTAAGAAGACCAAGGAAGAGAAGGAGAAAGAGAGCGACACACCCTCTGCCAGGTCTAGATCATACACAAGGCCACAGAGGAAGCCAGGGGGAGAGAATGGGAAACAGGAATACAGACAGAGAGCTGAATGCCACTGGTGCCTCATGTTAAATACATCCGCGGTCAGAGATGTATTTATCTGAATGAAAGGAAGCTGAAATCACTGCTGCCATCTGCAAAAGTAAACGACGAAAAGAGAGAGAGAGAGAGAGGGGGGGTGAAGAGAGGGAGAGGAGGCATGGAGATGACTAACTAAAATCAGTAAATGAAAAAGGTTAACATTTGACAAATAAGGGCATGCAACAGAGACATTGCAATAAGGAAGTGAAGGGTTAAGTTAATACATTGAGGAGGAATGGGATAGGAGCAGAACAGTGAGCCCCTCCATCCAATCACAGCCTGTATCTGCATTTGTATAGCCAATCAGCAGGCAGAATACAGGGGGGGAGGGGGGGTCAATGCATAGAGCCAGATAACAGTAACACATTTGTAAAAGTCAAATGATAGCTGCCTGAACTTCTATCCTTTCTTTGTTGTGGATAACAGAGCAGACAAGCCCACATAAGTTCAACACAGAGAAATAAAATGACGAGAACAAGACTAGAACGTAACTTGGGACGGTGGTATGTTGCTTAAGAGTGTTTTACATTTGGAAAAATGTAAAACCCCTTCAGACAAAATAATCTTCACACTTCAAAATTGGGCCATTAGCCAAAGCTGATGAAACGAATACAGAAGCCATCATCTGGTCCTGAAATCATTTTAACGTGAAGTGTAAGAAGATGTTGTTCAAATGTAAAATGTGTGTTGCTATGTTGCTAAGGCCTCAGACAAGAAGCACAGTGATGGGACATAGACAGCAATAGAAGCAAATAAAGGAAATCAGAGATGTAATGTTAATATAGTGGAGGGTGAGGCAGAGTCACATGAAGCATCTTTTACAGTGGAGACAGCCCAGACAGACAGCCCCATGCCATTTAGATCAGGCAACACATACTTCACCAGACCAGACATGAGTCCAGTGCTGGCCTGTATGTGTGTCCACAGCAGCAAAGCCTTATAGGACTGGAGAAGGGCTAGTCCCGAACAGTCTAAATAGCCTCCTTTCCTCATCCCCTTTCCTCCCATCATCACTGATCAACAAACAGGACTTGATGGTTGGAAACTTGTCTAAAGGCAGCATCTCGATACTTGAAAGTGGCCTCCTCTCCTAGTCTCCTCTCCTTCATTTGCAATGATCTAAAAACACAGAACAGGTGAAAGCAATATGACTGACACCTTTCCAATTACATCACATCAATGAAGGAAAAGAGTCACAGAGAGCAAACCCTTCAAGACTACCGAGACACATCCCGTCAACCTGAAGAAAAGGAGACAAGGGGACTAGAAACCATCAGAATTGGGACGCGGCCCTACCCTGGTCTTTTCTCCTGTCTAAACCTGGACCCCAGTGACAGCACACTGACCTCGGACTTGCTGCTCCAGGTTGAGTATAACATTAACGGCCTGGTGCAGAATGAGCAGTTTGGTCTGGGGTTTCTCATTAGTCAGGTGGAGCTGACACATGCGCCCCAGCTCCTTAAAGCCCTCGTTGATGTCCCGCACGCGCAGACGCTCGCGGGCGTTATTCGCCACCCGCCGCTCTTTCTCCCGCTCCACCTTCACCTCCGGCGGCAGATCCTCTTCATCCTCGTCCTCATCATCACGACTGATGAGGGCCGGGGGGGGGGGGGGGGGGGGGGGGGGGGGGGGGTTTGGTTGGAAGGGGGGGATAGAAGACATTACATGGGTATGGCTGACATATCTACTAACGTGGACAAGACTGTCCAAACAAGTATTATGTTCTGTTCATGCTAGACAATTACTCAATTCTATCATTCAGGGAGGGTGCTGTACTAGTTTGTGGACTATGATTACAAAGAATTAGCTCCTCATTCTTTAAGCAAGTAAGTATTTTGGGGCAAACATGTTGCTAGCAATTTTACAACAAAACAGGACTTTATATAAATCCCCAGTTACATATTTCTGCAAACTGACAGAACATAAACAGCTTTTCTTTATAAATGTATAAAATGTTCTTATGGTAAAAGCCAGGTTTACATTCATGCAATAGCTCTGACATGACACCATCTTATTTAAAGGAAATGAAAGGCATCAAATTGAACATTCATAATACTTACGCCATCAGTTATTAAACTCAGGGTATCTGCTTCAGAGATTGTGTGCTATGAGAATATGTTATAATTTCAAGAAGATACAAACCTTAATTCTCAAGGCACTAACAGCATGGCTCAAGGAACGAGAAAAACGTTTGCTATGCCTGAGTAGACCAATTATGCTGAAATTCTGCCCACAGTCTAAAATGGTTCTGATATAATCCGTTTTTTTCTTCCATTATTCTCAAAATAATGAAATAGCTGTATATATCTATGGCCACACCCCCTTAGGTGAGAGGCTCACGTGATTGGATGCAGACTTACTCTGCTCCCGTGTCTGATAGGGAGGAGGAGAAGGTCTGGAAGGAGAACGTCTCTCTGAAAACAACGGTAGACACGAGGGCAAAAATGACAACAGTGCTACGGAGAATAACCTCTTTTTGGGTGCTGGGGCCGTGTTACGTTGAAATAACGAGGGTAAACCTGCACTCCCTGAATTGATTTAATCATTTTCAAGTATTAAATAATAAAATAAATAATGATCGTGTTCAGTGAGTGAGAGTTTACCCCCTTTATGACAGTGGCACAGACCCCACATACGCGCATCTCAAGTTAGGATTTGGTCGAGAGAGACGGACTTCAATCGTATGGATGTGTGTGTTCATGATATGTTCTATCCCTATTATCAGAGGGGTTAGTCACCTTGTTCGAGTGCGGGCCTTCGAGTCTTTCTTCTCATCCTCTGACTTGTCAGCCACGGAGGAATTCTCGTCATCCTCCTTGTCCTCCCTTTTGATGTCAGAGCCACTGGATGAGTGTGTGGAGCGAGAGAGGCCTGAGGGAAGATAGGGGGGGATAAGTCAATGAAAAGCACAGCAGATCATTTGAGAAAGACAGATAGTCACAAACATTGTGTGTCCTTTCCTGAAATGACGAGAGGAAAAGAAAGAGTGAGGGGGAAAAAAAACTCACTGGTGAAGCCTTCAGGCTGGCTGCCAGAGGGAGGGCCGTGGTGACCATGCACACCACCACCAGAGGGCAGACCAGTCGAGTCCTCATGGTGGTTGGACATCTACAGAGCAGATGAGAACCATGGATTAGGCAATTAGACAGTATTACAGACATGTAGGTGTTACATTGGTATTACATGAAGGAGGATGTACATAATAGCATGACTCTAATCAATGGACATAACACCCTAAACCATTACACCATCCACGTGACTAGATATGGCCACTATATATTTATCCCTCCTGTTCTTACCAGGCTGGGCAGTCTGTTGGCCAGTCCCAGGCCAGCGTTGTTGAAGGCCTGGGCGAGGCCTCCTATCCCGGCGCTGAGGAGGCTGTGCATGTCAGCCAGCCCGCCTGGACCCCCTTGTCCCCCGGCGTGACGCTGCAGCACATGGATGGCCTCCTCCAAACGGTCCTCCATCTTGTTTTGCTAGTAAAACAAATGAGTCAACACTGTTTACTTATCGACTTCAATTAATCCAACTGGCTTAGGATCAAGGTGGTATTTTCTATCTTCTAGGGCTGTTACTCATACCAGTGCGACTGCACACATGCATGGAGTTGAACATGCTATGTAACTCACCAGGGCCTGCAGTCCACCCTCGAAGTTTGGAGAAGGTGTGGCCTGTCCCGAACCCCGGGGCCACTGAGAGGCAGAACCTACAGAGACCGAGACATTGAGCATCTGGACAACAACCTTATGGGTCTGTGAAAATAGTTGGCGCTAACCGCAAGAGTGGGTCTGTCCATCGATCAGGCAAACGGTCCATTCATGACGGCTAAACAGCAGTCAACCCTAAACCCCATTTCAGACGCCACACTCAAAGCACTGTTGTTGTTAAGCAAGAACCTAATCTCATTACTCAGTTCCACTCTAAACCAATAGATGGAGCCATATTATCATTGTAAACAGAGTGTCATTTAGGCCTCCTCTGCAAAATATATTTTCTTGTCGTTTTCCAAGTGGCTGTAACCTTACACCCCAGGATAGGGCCCCCTAAGGACTAAATCAGTTGTGATCTCATAGGTAAGCGATTCACTAACGTTTTTGCCCTTTCACTCACCCAAAGACTTAGCAAAATAACGCCTTATCCCAGTCTTAATTCACGACGGAATAGGAACTAGCAGTAGGCTCCAACCCACCATTTGGGAAACGCTATGCTAAGTTTCACTAAGGGCTAACTAACCTAGGTGTGATCCTCCTAGCTACAGGTGTATTCTCCCTGCCCACTCACCTGCTATGGCCTGGGGAGAGCCCACTGGAGTAGACGGAGACGAAGGGAAGGTGTTGCTGTTGTGGTCTGAGGGATAAATCTACACAGAAACAAAGACAACATGAAATGGTGGGTGTTTCTCAATATGCATACTACAGTGCTCCACACTGTCATGCTCCAAGTGCATTCTCCGTGGACATTCTCTTGAGTACGTTCTTGTGAGGACGAGTGTGGGGAGAATGCATAAACATAACATTTGAGAAGCACTCGCACTCCCCCTAATGTATTACCGCAAGCTGCATCTCCCCATTTACTGAACCTTCTTCCAGCCAGGACAATAGCAACAACAGAGATGAAACAAGATGTACACCAAGCAAACATTTTACTTCATAAATATTAGCTAGATATATGTGAATCGTTGTAATCTAGCTAGCCAACTAAACAGGCAAAAATTACCTACACTAATGTTATGCAAGGTACAGTAGATGTCGATTCCTTGTGGATAGCTAGCTAACACTTCTTCGTGGCTAGCCAGTTAGCCCTACAGGCAAAAATGACCTAAAACCAATGTTATCCAAGGAAGATGTCAATTCTTCGTGGCTATCTGGCTAGCTAACAATAGTAGCTAGCCAGTTAACACTATTGATTAATATGGGCTTGCGACCTACGCACACCATAGTGGGTATTGTAGGCAGGTAACCATGCCAAAATTTACACAGCATGTATTTATTAACGTATCAAGATAAAATATTGTAGTCAGGCAACATATGAGATGTGAATAGGCAACACTTCATTCTGAAGTCTGAGTGAATTTTCTCTCGCTTCAGCTCAAATAATGTCCGCCATTGATTTCAAGAAAATGTGGTACATTTTTTACGTGGTTGCGTCATATTTCTTTGCATACTTTCTGTTGAAGCTTGCATCGATGCATGCTTCAAAATATGTACAAACAGAGTATGCATTCAAGAAGTGCCCTCCGTGCGCCGTTTCGAATACTTTGATTTGGATTCATAATCTGACCCTCCCGTGCTCCAATTTGCATGCTTGGAGCATTGTAGTATGCAATTTGATAGTAGTAAGATCTGTGACACAGAAAACTACATAAGACTTGGCATTCTCTTTTATTTGCAGATAGTTTTTTCTAGGGCTGTCCCAAACTTTAAAAAAATCATGGTCGACTGAAAGTCGTCTGTTCTTTTGACCCATCGATTGGTTGACATTTCTAAACATATTTTTCCATATACAGTGGCTTGCGAAAGTACTCAACCCCCTTGGCATTTTTCCTATTTTGTTGCCTTACAACCTGGAATTAAAATATACTTTTGGGGGGGTTTGTATCATTTGATTTACACAACATGCCTACCACTTTGAAGATGAAAAATATATTTTTTTGTGAAACAAACAAGAAATAAGAAAAAACTAAAAACTTGAGCGTGCATAACTATTCACCCCCCCCCCCCCCCCCCCGGGATTTTTGCCCATTCTTCAAGGCAAAACTGCTCCAGCTCCTTCAAGTTGGATGGGTTCCGCTGGTGTACAGCAATCTTTAAGTCATACCACAGATTCTCAATTGGATTGAGGTCTGGGCTTTGACTAGGCCATTCCAAGACATTTAAATGTTTGCCCTTAAACCACTTGTGTTGCTTTAGCTGTATGCTTAGGGTCATTGTCCTGCTGGAAGGTGAACCTCCATCCCAGTCTCAAATCTCTGGAAGACAAACAGGTTTCCCTCAAGAATTTCCCTGTATTTAGCGCCATCCATCATTCCTTCAATTCTGACCAGTTTCCCAGTCCCTGCCGATGAAAAACATCCCCACAGCATGATGCTGCCACCACCATGCTTCACTGTGGGGATGGTGTTCTCGGGGTGATGAGAGGTGTTGGGTTTGCGCCAGACATAGCATTTTCCTTGATGGCCAAAAAGCTCAATTTTAGTCTCATCTGACCAGAGTACCTTCTTTCATATGTTTGGGGAGTCTCCCACATGCCTTTTGGCGAACACCAAACGTGTTTGCTTATTTTTTCCCCTTTAAGCAATGGCTTTTTTTCTGGCCACTCTTCTGTAAAGCCCAGCTCTGTGGAGTGTACAGCTTAAAGTGGTCCTACGGACAGATACTCCAATCTTCGCTGTGGACTTTTGCAGCTCCTTCAGGGTTATATTTTCGTCTCTTTTTTGCCTCTCTGATTAATGCCCTCCTTGCCTGGTCCGTGAGTTTTGGTGGGCGGCCATCTCTTGACAGGTTTTTTGTGGTGCCATATTCTTTCCATTTGTTAATAATGGATTTAATGGTGCTCTGTGGGATGTTCAAAGTTTCTGATATTTTTTTATAACCCAACCTTGATCTGTACTTCTCCACAACTTTGTCCCTGACCTGTTTGGAGAGCTCCTTGGTCTTCATTGTGCCGCTTGCTTGGTGGTGCCCCTTGCTTAGTGGTGTTGCAAACTCTGGGGCCTTTCAGAACAGGTGTATATATACTGAGATGACAGATCATTTGACACTTAAATAAAGCCCACCTGTGTGCAATCTAACTAATTATGTGACTTCTGAAGGTAATTGGTTGCACCAGATCTTATTTAGGGGCTTCATAGCAAATGGGGTGAATACATATGCACACACCACTTTTCCATAATTTATTTTTTTGAATTTTTGGAAAAAGTTATTTTTTCCATTTCACTTCACCAATTTGGACTATTTTGTGTATGTCCATTAAATGAAATCCAAATAAAAATCAATTTAAATAACAGGTTGTAATGCAACAAAATAGGAAAAACGCCAAGGGGGATGAATACTTTTGCAAGGCACTGTATAGACACACCCTGTGTTTTAATCAAATCAACTATATGCAATGAGCTTGTCTGATGCTTTAAGCTTACTGTTTGAAGAAATAAGAAAAATGCCTCAAGAGGGTGCCAGAGATCTAGATAACCAGAAGAAGAAAAATAATTCACCTGACCTAACTATTCTCCTCCCGTTCCTGCTGGCTTTCGCAGATTCTGCCATTACTCTCCTGAAGTTGCCGGTAATAAGTTACAGGAGGAGTCGGCAACCTTTCTCATGTGGAATGCCAATTTATCTTACCATTTCTACCAATCCGCGTGCCAGTTATGGTTTTCATATGGACATTTTCATGAAACAGTTTAATTTAATTTATTATAACGTCTTCATATCTCAAAATCATTGTCATGGGGTCAAAATTATATCCAAATCTAAATGAAAATGATACAAACCTAGAAAGTAACTTCTATTGCCATTGCCAACAATGTAAAAATAGCCTACATAAAACCAACAAATAAAAACATTTCAGCCTGCAGGTAGGAAATATCCTGATAAAAATTAATATCACATTGGCTACACATGGCCTGTCTGCAACAAACTTGAAACATTGTATCAACTATTAACTTGGGTCCTGCCCAAAGCTTGGGGTAGAGAACTTGCAACATTGTATAAAATATTCTGGGCCCCTCAAGAGTTTCTTGTGCCAGTGAGCTCTGGACAGACACAGCTGTAGGCTATCTGCGCAAGGGATAAGAAGCAGTGCTTGACTTGAGCAGGAGCTCACCTGAGCGGAGTACAGGCACCTCACATTTTCTACTGCTTGAGCTCCTGTTCATCTTATAGAATATTAGCTCAATAGTATTGTGGGGCTCCTGCACCTAAATATAAACAGTACCAGCACCCAAAATGAGTACCGGAACCTATTTCAGTCTAAGTCAAGCACTGATAAGATGTAATCAGGTACGCCTATTTTATGACGTTTCCACTGGATCAGAGCATTACATTTTTCCCTTTCATGCTGAGTGGTTATCGAAAGGGAGAGAGCTGGAAAGATTTTTCAAATACATTGAGAAACTATTGTAATTCTCAATGGATGTAAAAACAGACTGTTTGCTTGCTGTTTGAGGTGAAGAAAACATTACTTTGAGAAGCTACACAGGTCATTAGTGGTGGTGCATTAAGCCAATCAGAAATACTATCAGATCCCCAAATGGGCACATTCATATGCCTACATTTGCACGCAGGTAGCCTATAGGCCTACTCAACATTGACAGGAGCACTCCAAAAAAAAGACAATGACTAAATTGACAAAACTTGTAAATGCAATGAAATAACTCAAAACTTCTGTTTGGATTCTCACAAGTGTAGCATAGGTTGTGCACTCTGCAAACAATGTGTCATCTCCGACAATGATAACGGGAAGACTAATAATAATATTGAATGCATTAACAGAAATTACCGTAACCAAAGTAACAAACATTGTAGATTAGAAATTATAGGAATTAATGGTAAATGTACTACTGGAGATATATGTAATGGGGAATTGATATACACTAACAACCAAACGCAAACAATTCACACAATTAAGTTATGAAACAATGAATGTGCACAAATTGACGAGAGAGAGACATTCTGGAGAGAGAAGTGCATTGTGCATCTGGGCGCATGCTCAATCCGACAGCTGCATTGGCCATGCAGCATTTAAGGTGATACGGCCTCAGCAGAAGTCAGGGCATTCATACTTCTTGCGCTTCGTGGAGCAGTGCAGAAATGTTGTTAAGGAAGTGAATTTGTGTTTATACAGGATGTACCGCCACCCACCTACCGCCAACCAGTCATGTCAATGCGGAGCTATACAGGGTCCTCCGCATTATTAACAAATTTGGGAGGAGCATGGCGATGCGGTACGGAGCTCGATTTGGCCTCTGCATGCCTCTGGAGGCTCTGCAATTGCATCACACCCTCCATATGGAGCCTCCGACCACATTTTCGGATCAAGCATAAATTGGGTTTTAGTCTAGGCCTCAGCAATGGATTAGTTCACTGAGATGGAGATTGTTTGTTTATATATATATATATATATATATAAACAAACACACACACACACACACAATTATATATAACATTACTGCTCGACTAAAACAATTTCGGTCGACCAACAGCCTAACGATAAAAAAAATTATCGACCAGTCGACAAATTGGGTTCAGCCCTAGTTTTTTCTTAGTCTCGGTGGATGAATCAACATGGCGTAATCCCTGAAGACTATGGTTGATGTGGTCTGTGCCACTCTACTCACCGATGCCAGGGCTTTGCCGATCTCATCTCCTGAGCTTCCTGTCCCCCGGTTGGCTGTGATGGAACAAAGTAGATAGCAAACTATTAGAACTGACATTTCAATTTGGAAGAAAATATAGAAGTAAAGGGAGAAATTAACAAAGGAAGAGGCAGAACGTGAGAGAAAGAGAAAAATAGATAGATACGAACAGGAAGATATATAGAAAAAGCTAGTCTACATAGTGTCAGTGGTAGACAGTCATACCCATGATGGTGTCTGTTCCGTTGATGGGGGAGGTGTGGTTGGAGACTCCATAGCCAGTGGATCCAGAGTGGAAGCTCCCGTTCACCTCACTGCCGTGAAGGGGGTAGTTCTGGGGTGAGAGAGGCAGCGGCTGGCGCTTCTGCACAAAAACAGGCTTAAAGTCATTCTCTGGGTGTTGGGAGAGAGAGATGACAATGGTGTATACCATCTTATGTAACCTTTATTTAAACAGAGAACCAGTTGGTGTGTATGTGTATATGTGTGAGAGTAGTCTCACCAGTCTGTCCTGGGGGTTGATGGCGGTGAAGGGGGCAGGCTGGCCCAGGTGGGGGGAGTTACCCAGCATGGCTGTAGAGTAGCCCGGCTGCCCCATCGACCCGGCAGAACTCCACGGGTCAGGGGAGGGGTGCAGGCCTTCTGTCAGGGGGAACCAGGGGAAGGGACAGAGCAGGGGAGGGTAGGGGGGGGTGATAGGGGTGTGGGGGGTACAGAGGATGAGGGAAGGGTGGGATGGGTGTTTGTGTGTGGAGGGTAGGGGGGTGGTGAGAGGGGTGTGGATGAAAGAGAGAGAGAGTGAGCACCAGAGGGACAAGCAGCCTCCAGAGATAAGACATTAAGGGGCCACATATGAAGCATGTCACATCCGCCTGATGACTTCATCCTAGTGTACAGACAGATACGCAGGGCAGGCAGGGTATGTGGAGTATCATGTTAGCTCGGGGCTATGACTCACTCACTATCATTTACATTTACATTTGAGTCATTTAGCAGACGCTCTTATCCAGAGCGACTTACAGTTAGGGAGTGCATACATTTTTATTTTTTTCATACTGGCCCCCCGTGGGAATCGAACACACAACCCTGGCGTTGCAAGCGCCATGCTCTACCAACTATCACACTGCCATAAGGTGTTTCCACAGGCAGAATGAGAGAAAATAAAGACAGGAATGGGTCATCACCATAGACATCACATATGACATCATTGGCCAGCTAATTAATTATTCAATTGATTTACCTCACCTAAAAATGTGTTTTGTTCCACTTTCTCCATATAGCAGAGTTAGCACTATGGATTAACCCACTCTGATAAGTATATTGTGTAGTTTTGGCCCCCAGACATGATCTGGTATAAAGTAATGACCTTGCATGTAGAAGGAGCCGGGGTAGCCCACGTTTCCAGGCTTGGAGGCAGGATACCCTGCACCATCTCTGTTATAGTCCTCTCCTGAGGCCGACGCATAGACCTACAGAACACACACACAGTAGGGAGATGAGTACATCAAACATGGAGTACTTTCTAATAATAATTCCCAATTGATTGGAAATAGTAGACTAGGTGTGGTCAAAAAACGTGTTTCGATATCTTTATTAGGATACCCACCCATCCCTACACACCCTTCCACCCGCACATAATATAGCACTTCTCAATTGTTGGTTTTACAATTGCGGCAAACATTTTATGTATTTTTATTGCTTAATTTAAAATCGACAGCCTCTGACATTTGAGGACACTGGGGCATTGACTTCTCTCTAGTAATAAGCAGTGTGGAAGGTTTTTAACAGACTGAAAATGACAAGAAGTCCACAGACACGTTTTATGAAATCACTTGACCTATACACAGTACTGCCTAAACTCTGTGTGCACCTGTACAATCTGCTGGATGTAGGTTGAATACACTGCCTTGAACTAATGACATGGAGGTTGCCATTAACCCAGCACAATGTCTGAACTCCCTATGATCCGAATATCTGACATCATCTTAATGCACTGTTACCAAGACAACAAATGGATTCTTTACTGGCTGAAAAAGAGGGATGTCGCCCACACATGATCCAGTCTCCTCTGTGGCTTACAGAGCATCACCCATAGGATTGCTAGTAGTCTCTGACATGTTACTAAAGAGGTGAAAGTCCTGAGGTCGTGAATTAGCAGAGCCCTCAGAATCAGCTCTGTTCTGGCAGGCGTTAGAGAATCAAACTATGCGCCCGACAACTCGGATCTTACACAGTTAAGTTTTTGCTGTTATTTGATTGAACAGAGAGAAGAAGAGAGGAAGTGGGGGAGAGGTACAAAAGGGAATGGAGAGATGCACTACTAATTACTGTGCCATCTGCCCATTCCTGGACTGCAGCCAACTCTACGGGCAGCTGGGATAGAGGGATGGGGGAGGGAGAGAACGAGGGGGATGGAGGAAGAGAGAGAGGGGGGAGGGCGAGAGAGAAACAGAAAGGAGGGGAGGAAGTAGAGAACACAAGAGGGAGGGAGAGAGAAAAAAAAGATAGTGAGGGAGTTGAAGGGAGAGCGACAGTGTACAGGAGAAGAGCAGAAACAGTATAGTGAAGTCAGGTAAAGGCCAGGTCTGCATGTCATCAAGCATAATTATTTCCCTTAAGTAATGTGTGGACGAGGGTGCTGGGCTGGAAGGAATGCACGCACATCTATAAAATAAATGGCCTAGAAATACAACCCTCTAGAAATACATATGTCTAAATAAATGAATGGGTGAATGAGCAGGGCTCTGTTTATTTTTTCACCTCTTCGGCAGTGCAAGGCACACAGCTGTGGGGCTTGAGGCTCTCTCTCTGCCAGGTAGGCTGCTGCTCTAAACACCAGGGAGAAGCCTGCCATTCCACTGGGACTGTGTGTGTGTGTGGTGGTGGACAGTTTTACAGGCTTTGGTTTTCCATGTATATTTCGAGGTTGGACATTAGCACGATGAGGGCACCGATTGGTGTCACCTGGTTAGTCAGTATGCGTTACACCTGTGCTGGCTTGTCATCTCGTTAGTCAGAAGGTGTTCCAACTGTGCTAGCCCAGGCGATATTTAAGAGCGGCTGGACCAGTGCTCCAGTTGTCTTGATAGATGGCTCTCCCTATTTGATTTCGTTTTGCGCCACCTTTTTGGTTTGCTTCCCATCTTTATGTTTGGTGTGTGTTTTTCTTTTGTTTGCCTCTTAGTGGGCAAATTTAGTGGGCGCTCATGGTGAGTGTCTTTTAGGTCCCAGTTGTTGTTGCTATGCAACTTTCAGTGGACACCCCAATGAGTGTCTTTCAGAACCCCTCCTGAAACCCACCTGTTTCGTTTTGGTTGTGGTCAGTGACTTTGTTAGTTCCCCCTTCTATTTGAGCGACTTTTGGTTTTCATGCTGGGGAATGTAACAGTACTTACCGAAGAGGGCAGGCCAGGGGGAACTTTCCTGATCTTTTTTGGCTGGGCATCTGAGACACACAAACAAACAAACCCAGGAGATGAAACAACAGAGTTATGAAAGCAGTACTAACAGTTAGGGCATTCCAATTAATTGTCCATTTGGTAAGCGCTGTGCTGGTAGGAATATCTGTCTTTATGGCCCATAATAAATACCTTAATCAAACATAATCTAATCTTATACAACCAATGTGTTTATACAGCAGCCTCACACCACTGCTCCTTTCATTGAATCCCCTTGCAGGTTTAGCAGAAGTGAGATTTCTCAGGTTCTTATTTTAAACCTCAGTAGGAGAAGTGAGGGTAATCACAGTCGGAAATATAAACCAGAATAAAGAGCAACTCCTCTCCTCCACATAGTAATAGTGGAGCGGATATGGTCATGAATTCCATGTGATTGTACAAAGAGGTAGCAATTAGTCGACGCTATACATTTTGACATGGAGAACTAGCACTGTGCGATATGGCCTAAAACTCAAACCTCTATTTTTGTTCAAACTTATGGGCGATTCCCGATATATTTATCTATTTAAAAAAAAATGTTTTCTCGAAGTAAGCTTTGTTGTACAATTAAAAAGGTCAAATACACGGCATTTTAAAATGTCAACAATAATCTAATGAATTCCACAACCATAAGACCCACTAATAATTGAATTATTTTATCAAAATAGTTGTACCTGCTTTTTTTTCTTCTTCAATATTCACTGATCTGGCATTCAGGTCTGTCTATAAAAATGCCCTTTTTGTAACACATTTCACCAGAATCATTTACATTTTAGTCATTTAGCAGACGCTCTTATCCAGAGCGACTTACAGGAGCAATTAGGGTTAAGTGCCTTGCTCAAGGGCACATCGACAGATTTTCACCTAGTCGGCTAGGGGATTCGAACCAGCGACCTTTCGATTACTGGCCCAACGCTCTTAACCACTAAGCTATCTGCTGCATAATGCGCATTCACTAATAATGTAGCAGGCATTAAAGAAAATTAACACCGGTCTCATTAACAATCTCTCAAGCAGAAGCCCACATGCAAGTGATTAACCAGCTAATATTTAAAGTTTAGTCAATTTGTATAATTTCACAAGCTCTGAATTCAGCTAACAAGGCAAACAGTTGAATTGTTATGAACACAACCTTCTGTCCGTCTCCAGCTGTTTAAACAGCATGCTAGCCTGTCCACTTTGTTCAGATGTTGAAATCAAGTGGCCTACATTATTTTTCAGAATGATAATGAGTTGCCAATTCCTTATATAATTGTTTTATGCTTATTGCACATTTATAAAAACAGACTAAACAGCTAGTATAACCATCTTTATTTGACTAAAATGCTGCTAGCGATACATGGTACCGTAATGTGCACGCAACAAACTGAGAATACATTTTCCAGAAAGAATGTTCATTGGTACATCTGTTTTAGTAGTGTCTGCTCTGCTCGAAATTTGAGGAGTTGAAACAAACAGGGTATGGTTCGAAAGGTTAACTTCTCCTCTATTACAGTAAAATAATGTCTCCACGTGTTTCGGTGTCCATATGAACGATTCTGTTGGACCAAACCTCAAATAGCGAGTAGAAACCGTTTGTCAGAGGAAGAAGTGATGTCTCATCTTTGTTGTTGTGAGTGGTAGGGGCTTGGGAGAAAGAGGCGAAGCCAGAGGTTTCACTCTGGCCAAAATCTGGCCAAAATAAGCCCAATGCGTTTCTATGCGCTTATTTTCAACCTAAGGTTGTCGCCTGCCTTCCCGCCTTTGGGACAACGACTCCCATTGTTAGGGCGGAGACATCAGCATCTCGTATAGCAGCATATACAGATCTCTGGTGTAAATGGGAAGGTGCACAGAAGGAGTGAAGGAGACGAGACCAAAAAGACAATATGAGAACAAGCGGACATAAACACTCATAAAAACGAAAAATCCCCAAAAAACTAGATTCTGCGACACTGGCATTTGGAATATCGCGCAAAAACATTAATTCAAATTAATTCAATATATCGCCCTGCCCTATGTAGAACGTCCGAAAATTACACCAAATGCAATGCAGTAAGCATGTTAATAGAAGTGCCATTCCATGGAAGTAAGCTTCAATTCAAAAATTGGCACTGGTATGTCTATTCTACCCATTCTAATTCTGTGCACCATCTTCCTTGCATGTATCCATGCTAGGGAATGGGGATAGCATGAGTGTTGTATGGGGTAATATTCAGTGGTTTCTGTCCTTACCCATGCTCTCCTGGGTGGGTCTCCTGCGAGGGTTGAATTGGGAGGGGTAGAACTGGGAGCCAGACTTCAGGCCCGAGGGTGACAGGGCATCAGGACTGGGCATGGGCATCTCACTGGGCATAAAGCCCGGCTACGCAGGAGAGGAGGAGGAGAGGAATGAGAGAGGAGGAAAGACGACAAGGTCAGTCACTCAAATACTGCATGGGAGATTATAGTAATGTTGAGAGAGGAAAGAGGATGAGGAGGTTGACGGGAGGAGGGGGGGAATGGGGGAGAGGAGAAAACAACTCAAGGATGAAGGAGAAGACAGGACAAGGTGGGCACATTCACAATAACATCATTTAGAGGAAGAGACAGTGGCTTCAGAGGGGAGAAGTGAGAGAAGAGGGGGACACAGAAAAAACGTTTGACACGTTGGAAGAGAAGTGATTTTACCTGTGCTCCAAAAGAAGAGTAGGGTCCTCGCTCAGCTTTGCCTATAAAAACAAAATAAACAAGAGGGACAATCAGGGTAGGCCATCGTAAAAACCTTTAAAAGCTGCCTTTTACGCATCTCCAGCACATTAACACCCAATCTGGGGTGTTCCCCTTTCTCCAGTTGGGTGACCCCCATCTGCTGCCTGCTGCTGTATATGAAGTGTTGTATTTATGGCTTTGGACAGGCGCAAAACAACAAATTGGACCATTATAGAGGGTCCCGGAGTAATGAATGCCCCCCCCCCCCCCCCACACACCCCTCCCTCCTCTGACAGCTCAGCTGAGACACACACACGCTATAGGCCACACTAATCCGGCAGAGGTTTGTTTGAGCTTGGGTGCTCCTAAACCCCTCACCCCCCCCCCCCCCCCCCCCCCCCCCCTCCTAAACACCCTGTCCCTGTGTATGCTCCTAGTCACCTCCACACACATGGAATGCCCCTGAAGAGGTCCTACATATGCAGTGACAGTAGGAGAGGTCCTCTCTGTATCCTCTGAGACACACATACAACTCCATCTCCATTCACTAACGTACATTTCAATTTGCTCCCCTAAAGACGCATCATTACGTAGTCACTTCTTCTGGTCATTTATTGTAAATACGGGGTGGCTTACTGCAGCTCCGAAAGCCACACGACAAGACCACAGGGACCTGTTAGTGGGTTTACTTTGTCTTGATGGGGACGTCAAATCAGCTGAGCTTAATTAAAGGGTTGAGGGTTGGGGAGAGAACCTGCTCCTGTTCCAGGTTGGAGGAAATATATTCAGATTTCCTTACCAACGATCCCCGAGCCGAACAAGGGGGTGGAAGCGAGGCCTTCGTGCTCGTTGTAATGAGCTCCTTCGCCATAACCCTGGAGGGAGGGAGAGAGACAGAGATGGGGATAAGAGAGATAATATGAAGACTTAAAATCAATTGCTGTGTCTTAAACAGATTCAGTATGCCCCTCTTCAACCAAACGCATTGCGCCTGTGGGCTCTTTGGGCTAATCTATGCTTAGGGTTGGGCGATGTCAACCTTTGTCCTATCGTGATTATGTACCCATTAAACATTGTGATATTCGATGCTATCGCTGCTATTGGCCACCCCCCATTTTATTGTATTTTTTTTATGACAAAAATACAACGCTAAAAACGACAGTTGGGCTGTAGCGCAAAATTTAACGCAACTGGACGAATCATAATGAAATGATGTTTTTGAAAGCCTGGGCAGAGGCTAAGTGCAGGCAATGGCAAATATTTATAATATTCCTTTATGGTGGAGGAGCAGAACAGGTTTGTGTGTGTCTGGCGCACACATGATGGAACAAGTGACTGTCTGATGAGGAACGGGCTGTCTTACCGTTGTGAGCTAGGTTATAGGCCTACATCATGGGATGGACAAAAGCAGTCTACTGTAAATAGAACTGGATAATAATTTGCCTCAAAATAACAGAACAATTAATAATATCTCTCATAAAGCTGTGATTGAGAAGAGCCTATGCTATAGAGTTTCATTTTTGTTATTTTTGAAAGCCACAACAACTTTAGGACAACGCTTTTGTATGCTAAAATATTTGGGAAATAAGCTACTGTTCATAGCTAACTTGTCTTAAAGCTTTTATGATAGGCATAGTAGGATAGGTTATTGGCGATTTTGTTTTCAACCTTGCATGAAGGGATTTTCGTGGCCCGCATGGATCATTTCTTTCTTAAGGTAGCCAGAGGACTAATAATGAGAGAGCACAAACAAATCTCAATAGCCAATAGAAAAATGTAAAGACAAGTTTAATCAAGTTTAAGCTTATGTTTTTAGGCTATTCAAATAACTTTGAGATGGAACTCCGTTACATTAATTGTTTGATCGGGAGAAAGTCATGCATAAAACGATAAAGTGTAGACTTCAGTCATATGCACAGCCTATCAGATGGAGAGAGAGAAGGCAACATAGGCTACCTTTTTTTTTTTTTTTTTTAAACAGCTCGACACAAGAGTTAAGGAGTGTCGGTTATAAAACATTTAAATACAAAAACGGTTTAGGCTATAGCCTAATGTCCATGCATCCGACAGAGAGAAACAATGTTTTCTGACTGGACATTTTGTGCTGCTTTGGTGAAATTCTCCACTCTGTCTGACCTACATTCCTCTCGTGTTCTGTAGGCTAGAACATTTACTGAAATAAGGCTATAGCAAATAGAAATAGGCAAATTACTCAGAATGTCACTGGTGTGCTGCCCTGCGAGACGGTTTTTTACTGCGTGGCGCCAGTCAAGTTCAAATAGGCTAAACCATCGTCTGTCACATCATGATGTCGTCACCATCGATGATAGACGACGCTATCGTAATATCGCCCAACCCTAGTCCAGATAAGACTAGTCATCAGGGCTCTAAAGTGCGACCAATTTGGTCCCATATGTGACTAAATATTTTGCTGTGCGACAGTTTTATTTTGAGAGCACCCGTGCGACATCAAAAACTACGAAATAACACATCTGGAATCACGTAGTAACCAAAAGTGTTGGTAGTAGCCACCCTATGCCTTGATGACAGCTTTGCACACTCTTGGTATTCTCTCAACCAGCTTCACCTGGAATGCTTTTCCAACAGACTTGAAGGAGTTCCCACATATACGGAGCACTTGTTGGCTGCTTTTCCTTCACTCTGCGGTCCAACTCATCCCAAACCATCTCAATTTGGTTGAGGTCGGGGGATTGTGGCGGCCAGGTCATCTGATGCAGCACTCCATCACTCCCCTTCTTGGTAAAATAGCCCTTACACAGCCTGGAGGTGTTGGGTAATTGTCCTGTTGAAAAACAAAATGATAGTCCCACTAAGCCCAAACCAGATGGGACGGCGTATCGCTGCAGAATGCTGTGGTAGCCATGCTGGTTAAGTGTGCCTTGAATTCTAAATAAATCACAGATAATGTCACCAGCAAAGCATGCCTACACCATAACACCTCCTCCTCCATGCTTTACGGTGGGAAGTACACATGCGGAGATCATCCGTTCACCCACACCGCGTCTCACAAAGACACAGCGGTTGGAACCAAAACTTCCAATTTGTACTCCAGATCAAAGGACACATTTCCACCAGTCTAATGTCCATTGCTCGTGTTTCTTGGCCCAAGCAGGTCTCTTCTTCTTATTGGTGTCCTTTAGTAGGGGTTTCTTTGCAGCAATTCGACCATGAAGGCCTGATTCACGCAGTCTTCTCTGAACAGTTGATGTTGAGATGTGTCCTGTGACTTGAACTCTGTGAAGCATTTATTTGGGCTGCAATTTCTGAGGCTGGTAACTCTAATGAACGTATCCTCTGCAGCAGAGGTAACTCTGGGTCTTCCATTCCTGTGGCGGTCCTCAAGAGAGCCAGTTTCATCATAGCGCATGGTTTTTGCGACTGCACTTGAAGAAACTTTCAAAGTTCTTGACATTTTCCCGGATTGACTGACCTTCATGTCTTAAAGTAATGATGGACTGTCGTTTCTCTTTGCTTATTTGAGCTATTCTTGCCATAATATGGACTTGGTCTTTTACCAAATAGGGCTATCTTCTGTATACCTTGTCACAACACAACTGATTGGCTCAAACGCATAAAGAAGGAAAGAAATTCCACCAATTAACTTTTAAGTAGGCACACCTGTTAATTGAAATGCATTCCAGGTGATTACCTCATGAAGCTGGTTGAGAGAATGCCAAGAGTGTGCAAAGCTTTCATCAAGGCAAATGGTGGCTATTTGAAGAATCTCAAATATATTTTGATTTGTTTAACACTTTTTTGGTTACTACATGATTCCATGTGTTATTTAATAGTTGATGTCTTCACTATTACTCTACAATATAAAAAAAATTGTAAAAATAAAAGTAAAACCCTTGAATAAGTAGGTGTCCAAACTTTTGACTGGTAGTGTGTGTATATGAATGAATGATTGGAAATGATGCAGACAATTACATTGATCTAATCCACAATCTATCTGCAATATTAAAGCTGATCTAACCCCACCCCCAAAAACAAAAAACATATTCCAATGTGATTATGAGTCCCTTGGGAAACACTGACCAATACTTTGGTTCCTACCCCGTCATAACTCATACATGGCTTTTTTGTTTGTTTTCATGACAAACACCACCAAGCGTAGAATTAGAATAATCATTATATTTCTATGATTCCAATGTTTCACCCAAGTGTTTTGATCTATATCGCAATACTTGGTTGAAAAATTGCAACTACATTTTTTGCCCATATCGTGCAGCCCTTCTAACAACTTGGTAACTTCACCAGTATATGAAAAGATTTGGTGGCACAAAAAGAAAGGAAAAGTGATATCTTCTTCAGGAGATGTGTTTCAAAAGTAAGAAGGATTCATATAGGCCCAATGTAGGCTATACACTATATATACAAAAGTATGTGGACATCCCTTCAAATTAGTGGATTCGGCTATTCAAGCCACACCCGTTGCTGACAGGTGTATAAAACCGAGCATACAGCATTGCAATCTCCATAGACAAACATTGGCAGTAGAATGGCCTTACTGAAGAGCTCAGTGAATTTCAATGTGGCACAGTCATAGGATGGCACCTTTCCAACAAGTCAGTTCATCACATTTCTGCCCTGCTAGAGCTGCCCCGGTCAACTGTAAGTGCTGTTATTGTGAAGTGGAAATGTCTAGGAGCAACAACGGCTCAGCCGCGAAGTAGTAGGCCACACAAGCACACAGAACGTGACCGCAGAGTGCTGAAGTGCGTAAAAACCGTCTGTCCTCGGTTGCAACACTCACTACCGAGTTCCAAACTGCCTCTGGAAGCAACGTCAGCACAAGAACTGTTCGTCGGGAGCTTCATGAAATGGGTTTCCATGGCAGAGCAGCCGCACACAAGCCTAAGATCACTATGTGCAATGCCAAGCGTCGGCTGGAGTGGTGTAACGCTCGCCGCCATTGGACTCTGGAGCAGTGGAAACCTGTTCTCTGGAGTGATCAATCACACTTAACCATCTGGCATTCCGATGGACGAATCTGGGTTTGGCGGATGCCAGGAGAACGCAACCTGCCCTAATGCATAGTGCCAACTGTGAAGTTTGGTGGAGGAGGAATAATGGTCTGGGGCTGTTTATCATGGTTTAGGCTCCTTATTTCCAGTGAAGGGAAATCTTAACGCTACAGCATACAATGACATTCTAGACGATTCTGTGCTTCCAACTTTGTGGCAACAGTTTGGAAAAGGCCCTTTCCTGTTTCAGCATGACAAAGCGAGGTCTGTACAGAAATTGTTTGTCGAGATCGGTGTGGAAGAACTTGACTGGCCTGCACAGAGCCCAGACCTCAACCCCATTGAACACCTTTGGGATGAATTGGAACGCCGACTGCGAGCCAGGCCTAATCGCCCAACATCAGTGCCCGACCTCACTATTGCTCGTGGCTGAATGGAAGCAAGTCCCCGCAGCAATGTTCCAACATCTAGTGGAAAGCCTTCCCAGAAGAGTGGAGGCTGTTATAGCCACAAAGGGGGGGACCAACTCCATATTAATGCCCATGATTTTGGAATGAGATGTTCGACAAGCAGTTGTCCACATACTTTTGGTCATGTAGTGTATCTCAATCTGTTTAAAACAATAATAATTCTAGTCTTAAATTTTTTTGTTAAATGTGGTGCTCCTAACTTTTCTATGTTAAAAGCACCAGTGCTACCAATTATTTTATTTATTTAGAGCCCTGCTAGTCATATACTATTAAACAATATCAGTTTAATGATTAGTAAGGTTCCGTGTAAGAAAACATGTCCGTGTTGATCAGTGTGTAGTCACTGTAGTGTGTAGTATACAGTATGTAGTGTGCAGTGTTCCCTTACCCGTCCCTGGTTGAAGGAAGGGCTGTTCTGTTCTCCTGATGCCCAGGGGCCAGGACCGCTCCGCTCATCCATACCTAGAACACAGAACATGGAACACATAGGGTTGGACCTGCTCACACAGAACCATGTTGGACTGAAAAAGGAAAGGAGATAAGGAGAGGGAAAGGGACCAAAACTAGTAGTAGACTGGTAGTCATTTGCCCAATTCCAAATAAACCCCTAGTCCCTAGTACTCCCCCTGAGCATTTGTAGGTTTGAGAAGTTGGAGATGTGACCAAAATGGCGAAGATTCCACCTAGCCAATCGGAGGGCAAGGGGGATCCATTAAGAGAATGCCAATACCCATCTAATCCTTTAAGATCTACACCAGTACTAGGGAGATAGAGGCTAGAAGTCAATATGCAAGTGAGGGTGACCCAGTTAGGAAGTACTGCTGCTTCCTAACTGGCTGGGAGTGTTCTAAATAACCTTTGGCTGAGCGCTGCAACTTCAGCTCCCAGTGACAGCTCTGCCACCACACTGTCACTTAGTGTAGCTATGAGCTGTAGGAAGTTTGAATAATTAACACCCAGTATGAGCCTCCTACAATCATCCTCAACATTTGCCATTCTCTCACTCTCTCTCTCCACTCCTGTCTATGGCAACGCAGCAGTTGTTCGTACCACCATCCCTTCGCATGACAACGGACTAAGAGGTACACGTCATGCATGTTGTCCCTGGTCAAAGGATTTGCGTTGAAAAGGGGGAAAGTAGGGAGGGTGATTTTAAAGATTGGTGAAGCAGAAATTCCTGCCCTTCTCTCCTCCCCCTCCATCTCCTCTCTTACCGCTACCCAGCATCTCTGGGGGGAAGCTGATGCTTAATTGTGTGCTGATTTGCATAATTGTGCATATTAATAAGGCTTTGCTCTATGAATATTCATATTTTTGTTTTGTTGTCTAATAACAAAAATGGAGAGGGGCGGAGGGGAGCAGGCTGGAAGCGCGACTGGATCTGCCATCAAGGAGAATGATGGGTTCAGAGTGGAGGGAGCTGCTATATCACCGTGACAACTGATCTATAGGAGAGATAGCAGCAGAATCGCAGATGAAGGAGATGAGGGGTTTGTTGCCTCAACGTGACTGTCACTCTCCATGTCCAGCAGTAGAACAGACTCAGAGAGGGCATGTACACAGCAGACATAGAACAGCACACATATGGACCAGTCCTTTCCACTGCTGAAATGACACTAGTGTTTCCCCTAGACATTTCTTGCGTGGATTGCAAAGGAACCAATTAATGAGATAGCTCGCACAAATTATTAAATGTGCCTAATATTGTGTAGCGATAAATAAATGAGTTTTGGAATAATACTGTGAAAATGATAATGCCCTTTTAGTGTAAGAGTTGTTTGAAAAGACCGGCTGAAATTTCAGCCTGTTTTGGTGGGATGGAGTTTTGGCCTTACCATGCAGTACATTGGTTAATAGACCCCAAAAAATAGAGTTCCAAACCTCTCTGCCAATAACAGCTAATTCTCAGTTTCCCCCTCCCCACCCAGGACTGTCTGGGAGCGGTCTATCAGAATTCTTGCTTGAGAAATTGCCCTTTGCTAAGAAGCACATTTAGTTTCTTTTTGACCATTTTAATTTAAAACAAATCACAGTAAGGTACTTAATTATTAACCAGAAATGATTTGATATCGATAAAAACGGCTGCAATGGACGTTTAAATATCTCTATGACTCTGTCGAGGGCTGCCGACAAACATTATCAGGAAGTTTTGGTCTGGTATCCTACTACTGAATCAGGCCGGACCTTCATAAGCCACACACTCCTCCTCAAGTCAACACTATGAATAGGCGGCTAAAATGGAGTCATCTGAAGAATGTGGAAGACTTTGCATAGCCGCTGGGGTAGGAAATGAACATGGTGGGTATACCTTACTGCTCTTTAGGAAGACTGACAGATGCAAGGGAGGGGGCTGTAGATCTGAACTGACACCATTGAGATCCACAAAGGCATGGGGCTAACAGGGAGCTCTGCGGGTAGCTAGAACCTCGTACCTCGGGCTATTCATGTGTTCTCCTGAGGAAGGAAGGGACGACAGGAAGTATGGCGCGAATGGAGAAGAGGGGTGTCTGGAATGCATGGAAGGAAGCGCTCTCCTAGACCTTCTGGGGTAAGTAGTAAGTAGCACCACAACTCTTATTGCAAGGTATTTTAAAGGTTGGTGCAGGGATTTGGACTGTATTAAAATGTATGGAGGGGGAGTTGTGTTTGAACCGGGGAGAAAAAAAAGATGAAGAAAGTTTCACACCACACAAATTACTCATATTGAGTGAGGGAGAGGGCAAGTGAGCAACTCTGAAGTAAAAAATCATTAAAATTGCTTTCATGCATATTCATTAGGTCTCCACGTTTTCCTTCTAATTAACAGATCTACTGATTAGTATAAAGGAGAGAATAAGTGAGACTCGTCTAAGTAGACGCTCCTTTGTTTTCTCAAACTTCAAATGGCTTCCTCTTGCAAGTCGTTACCATGACAGCCTGATATAAGACATCAAGAACATTAGAGAAAACCACACAGCTCTTGTCCACAGAACCCTGGTTGTAGAGAGGACCCGGTACTGAACTCCACATTCTAATTATACGGATTCATTTAACCAAGAATCTTGAGAGTAGTTTGTCTACTATGTTACCAAGCCATTGCTGATGACAACAACCCTAAAAAACATGGAGGCAGGAACTCTACACCTTAACCTCTTTTATAGGGTTTACCCCCCCAGGGAAACTTCTGTGACTGAGTTAAGAATGAGTGAGTGAACGTCACAGCACGCTAGCTCAGAGAGCGAGAGGGTCGAGTCAGGCCAGACACATTCACTAGCGAGTCTCCCCTTTAAACCCGGGCCTCACCACCCCTTTAAGCGAGGCTGGTCTATAATACCACAGGAAGAGATACTGGAAACGACCAGTCAGCCTGAGTCACACAAGCTATGAGGCTACAGAACCAACACACAGGGAACATGCAGGCACATACACACTTTTTTTTTATTGGATAATTCCCCTGGCACTGATTGGTGTATTGTCTGGCTGTCTACACTTTCTTCCTTTCTTCCGTCCCTGCCCTGTATGACAGAAATGTGAGTCACCCAGACACAATACATGATGCCTAATAAGTATTAAGGAGGAGTGTGATTATGATTTAGGGAATGTCTACAATGGATACGCAACAGTATCTTGTGTGTTATATGATGTGCCTGAAATGATTAATAAGAGCCAGTGTTATGATGCTGGGAGGACAATATTCAACACCAACTTGAAATTACACATTTGAACATGATTAGGCATGCTACTTTTCATATTGCAATTAATTTTTTTATCATTTCAGTTAGAAGCTACAAGCATTATATTCTGGACAATGTATGTTATGTTTAAAGTTGTGGTTTGATCAAGTCTGACAGAATATGCTTCTATACCTCCTGTAGCTCAGTTGGTAGAGCATGGTGCTTGCAACGCCAGGGTTGTGGGTTCGTTTCCCACGGGGGGCCAGTATGAAAAATGTATGCACTCACTAACTGTAAGTCGCTCTGGATAAGAGCATCTGCTAAATTACTAAAATGTAAATGTAATACTGCACAAGGAATCCAATTCAAGAGCAAATCTGATCAAGTTACTGAATTACCATTTCCATTCACATGAAGGAAAGTTCCTAAAGAACAGAAAGTTCATGCAAAACGCATACTTTCCTCTTTTGCATTTCAACCCAAGCCAGAGTTTAAAAATACCAGTTCAGAATCTCAGTTTCTGATTGCCAGTAAATGAAACTTGGTCGGAATGGATTTGCACAGACACCCAAAGTCAGTGAGAACTAGGGATGCATGACAACAACCGTTCTTATGGGTACAAGTCTCCCAAAGACACAGATCTGTGATCAGCTTACCCTTCCCCCAACATTCACCATAGATCAGTACCTTGGGTCAGGGTAAATTCATCCTAATCCATGACAACCATTTTCCACTCTACAGGGATGAGCACTAAAAAATAACTACAGCTCATCTAAATCAAATCTATAAAAAAGGCAAGGCAGAGCAGATACTAACCAATGCTACCAAGGAGATGGTAGTGCAGAGAGACTAGGAACCTTCCCTCAGAGAGCCTCTTCCTCCTCATTGTGAGATGATGGGTAGGGGGCTTCCAGGGTGAAATCATACACTGGGCCACATATGCTGCCTGCCTATCTACTTCTCTCTCTGCGGCCCAATCCCTTTGTTTTGGCCTCTGATGAGCATTGTGGAGACCTGTGCTGAGGGCTGCCACACAATACCAGGAGCAGCCGTTGGATTGAGAACAGTAACAGCCTTCTTCTGTAAGCGTGCACCTTTTGTCGCTACAAAAGAAAATCTAAGTGGCCCTCAAGCTTAGAGAAACACTGTAGATTGGTTCCCCGCTTCACCTACTCCGTCCCTTTCATCTTATTTCTGCTCCTTCAATATCCTGTTTCTTTTCAGGTACGACCTGAAAATACCTACATCAATGGTTCAGGGGATCGAGGAGGGCGAAAGAAGGTGATTGGAGGAGAAGAGGGGGTGAAGGAAAATGATTGGTGGAGAGGAGAGGACAAGTGATTGGGGGGGTGAGAGAGGGTTGAAGGAAAGTGGTTTGAGGCCGAGACAGAGAGGATGCAAGTTGGATGTAGAGCAGGGTTCTTCAATTCCGGTCCTGGAGGGCCGAAACACTTCTGTTTTTTATTTCTACCTGGTAGTTAATTGCAGTCACCTGGTGTCCCAGGTCTGAATTAGCCCCTGATTAGAAGGAGAGGATGAAAAATAGAGGTGTTTCGGCCCTCCAGGACCGGAATTGAAGAACCCTGATGTAGAGCATGGTTCTTGTGTTGATCTTGGATGGTTATCAACAAAAGGAGATGTGGTCTATTGAGGGATGGTGGTTGGTTAGTTGTTTGGGGGTGAGGAGAAGCGAAGAATAACGGAAATAGTTTTTCCCCCCACAGGGTGAGTGATTGGGAATTTGGGGGTGAATACGGTCATTTCCCATCACCCCTCCTGTTTTAACACCCTCAATAGAGCGTGATGGAGAGGCAGCAGCTGGGAAGGTGAGGGAGGGGACACCGGGAGGGGAAGACTGGAGCTGCTTCCTTTTCCTTATGAACTTTATTAACAAACATCTGGAAGGAGAAGACTGGTGGAAGCAATATGGTGGAATCATATCCAATCCTTCGACCCATCAGTGATAATGAAGGACAGTATGCCATTTTAGCCAAAGCCATTTTAGGATATTTAGATTATTGATACAGCTACTGTGATTTGACCTCACTGAGAGCACTCCCTACGGGGCAGTGAGAGGAGGGACAGCGGGGGGGATGAAGGGGTCAGAGGTGGGACAGTGGGGAGGGTTCTCCGAAGACAAATAAGAAAGTGTTGTTGAAAGGGTTTTAACAGCCCATCGCTGCCATGCTGTTCCTTAAAGACATCTATAGGGGACCATTAACAAGCAATAACAACCTTACTGGAGCAGCTTTAGATGAGAAGTAGGGGAAAGGAGGATTTTGACCATTTTTGATCATATGGTCACATATGAAGACCATGTTGGTCAAAATGTTGTTGTACTATCACCAAGGTGACCTGACGAAGACCATGTTAACTGAAATGCTTAAATGATTGTACCATAATTAGGCTTTATTGAAAAGCTAAATTGGGAGCCGTAAGCAGTCAGTGGGCATTTATTGTTGTATTAAAACCAAAAGGGCAGGTCTTACCGGAGCCTCCAAACTGGCTGCTGGCTAGAGTGGTGGGCCTGTTCTTCCCATTTGACACCGGTGGTGCAAACATCTGAAACAGAGACAGACACTGGGTCAAAAACATTCAACCAGAAATGGGGTATAAAAATAAAAGGCCCTGGGGCCATATCCACAAAGCATCTCAGAGTAGGAGTGCTAATCTCAGATCTGTCCATACAAGCATTCATTATGATCTAAAAGTCCAAACTGAAGCTAGATCAGCACTCTTTGTGGATATGGGCCCTGAACTTTAAAAAAAACAAGCAGAAGTCTCCTTTTGACATCTATGTCTTGAGAAAAATGGCTAGCCTGTATGAAACACTTCACAAAACGTGTCATCTTCATTAGACTACAGGAACCCAAAGCTGCTCTTAATAGACACCAAAGTACAATAACAACGATTACATTACACCTCTGATGTTACATTGTTCGGTGCTAGGCGCTAATTGAACCTATCCGATAGAAGGATTTAGTCGTTTTCAGTTAAGACTACCGCAGCTGTCAACAGTGTGAAGCAATCTAAAAAATGCCAAGCTATGAGTTAGTCATTGATGCGAGTGACTCACAAAAACTGCCCAATGACAACACAGGCTGATTGAAAACATGCTATTCAGTTTACGTACCAACCTTTTATCTCAAACAATACAACAAAAAACACGTACTTTATTATAGTTACGAGACATTTTAGCAAATGGTCATTGGCAAGTCTATCTTGATGGGTTTGGATTTATATACACTGTCTTGTTTCTACAAGAAAAAGGTGTGTTGAAGTGTTACTGTGTACATAAACTATTTATCTAAATATAAAAGAGATTATGTGTACTAGACTACAAACAACCTACTTTATACCCGAAGGAGGTGTTCAGGACAAATATATTATAGTATTGGGAACAAAGATATTCTAAGGCTGTTGACAGTAAAGATGTCTCACCGCGCTGAAATCCAGCAGGTCGCTGAGCTCCTTGTCTGTGCCCACTGTAGCCATTCTCTGCTGCTGTTCCTTTGGCCCTCACAGTCTCAGCAACTGAGGGGGGAGAGAGAGAGAGAGAACTGATCTTTTGTGGGATAACAGACAAACTGGCAAAGTCTAGAGCAGGATTGTCAAACTCATTCCATGGAGGGCCGAGTGTCTGGTTTTTGGTTTTTCCCTTTCAATTTGTATCCAATTAAGACCTACACAACTGGGTGAGGGGAGTTCCTAACTAATCAATTAGATTCATTGGTAGAGCATGGCGCTTGTAATGCCAGGGTAGTGGGTTCGATCCCCGGGAACACCCATACGTAACAATGTATGCACACATGACTGTAAGTCGCTTTGGATAAATGCGTCTGCTAAATGGCATATTATTTATTATTATTAATCAAATACAAGGGAGGAGCAAAAACCTGCAGACACTCTCCCTCAATTGAATGAGTTTGACACGTGGTCTACAGCAGGAGTCTCCAACAGGTCGATCTCGAGCTACCAGTAGCGCGTAGCCCACCTATGAGTAGCTCGCCAAACAATATTGAAAGTACATGCAATTTTCACGTGTTGCAGCGTAAACTGTCATAAACTAATCTCCCAAGTATCAGACACTGCAAGCTTCGAGCAAATATATAATCAACACAACATTGACATTATCCCACCCTGGTTGCCCACTATTAGCTTAAAAAGCCAAACCTAAAACAACATCTGCCAATAAACTTCCAGCAATATTGCCCCTGCCTGTCTGTGTGGTGTGTGCGTTTGTCTATCACTCCGTGTGTAGGCCGTTGATGCGATAACCGTCTTGTGGGTTGACAGAAATACCTTCCCCAAAACCTTCTCAATTAAATGTTAACTGCAAAGTAGGCTTATCTGGCAGAAGTATAACATGAGTAAGTATATAATTTGAATATATTATTTGCATACTTTGCCATGTAATGAGTAGCAACAGTAAAGAACCATTGTTAGACCAGGACATTAGACGGCACATTCCTCACTCGTTAGATACAATTAAAGGGGAATTACACTCAAATCTAAATGTGTTTGTTTTCTTCCACACCTTAAAAACAAAAATGGTCTTCTGATGTGATTTAAGCATTGGCATGGACACAGGACATCCAATTTCGTTGTTTCTTTATGAACAATTGTAATTTTGAGTGAAAAACAAAAAAATCTAAAATCAGGAAAAATAAAATGGAGAAAACATCATGAGGAAATATAGAACTTAATTTGTATGTGGGGGGCTCTCAAAGTAGCTCTCATGCTAGAAAAGGTTGGAGACCCCTGTTCTAGAGGTACAAATAGTTGAAAGACAGAAGAATCAGAGTGACAAAAGCGTGAAGTCAAATCTTACTAAATTGATTCCTGTGTCAAGGGTACATTTTCAGCGTCATAATTCAAATCCACCAACAAATTGCTTATTAAGACACCAAGATTTCTCTATACAAACCATTAAATTGATTGCAACCACTTTTTACTGTGTGGTTAGACCTCTCTTTGGAATGGATACATCACATTACCATATCCCTTGGCAGAACATAAGTTTACATTTGACAGAGCATGTAGTGGAGGTGGTTTCCGTGATAAGTGACCTTGTCTGAGACCTGAAGACTCAAGTTTGCTCCCTGAGCAAGGGGCTCCCATGCAACAGTCTTGGAATACAAAAGTAAATCAGGTTTGATACCCAGTCGGCCATCATGATGAAAATGTCATAAGCATCGTGTCATCATGATACAACTTGCCTTCTGTATAGAATGACCAATGTTAGGGTTGGCAAAACACACAAATCACCATTTACACACACATACTTCAAAGGCCATTAAGAGGGTGGGATGGCACAAATATAGCCTACTTGTTATTTCACTGCTACAAGTTTTCCTACTCTGTTATTGAATTAGATGCAAATCTTTCCCATTCATTTGGAATTGTGGCCTGCAGATTTGTGCTACATAACTCAATCTATAAAACAGGTGCTGTGGAATCCCTTGAGGTAGGGAAACTACTGGCAAACTTACACTCTGGGATGAACTACTAGTGTTGCTTTAATCATTGGGTATTACAGGTTCTGAGCACCTTTATCAGAGATCTAGCGTCACATGAACTCTGGGCTTTCCCCATCAGACAGCTATCTGGAGTATGGCCTCTGGTCTACCACAAAGCCAATACTCGCCTCTCTCCTCCTTCCTCAGCCCTGGCTGCCTCTGCAACCTAAGAAACCAACCTGCTTCAAGAGACTCTCACCAAGAACAATACCAGCCACAGCATCAAAGGCCATTACATATGCTATGAAATGTCTGAATATTACCACCACAGTAACCCCATTAGTTTGATCAAACAACGCACCTGGTTGTTTTCCGTTTCACAACATTTCCCCCCGTTTGTACCTGATGAACACAACTCAGGTCTCAAGTGTCTTTCTCATAAACTTCAGCCAGAGCTTCCAGGGTAATGTGACAAAAATGGACATCAATGTAATAACTCGAGGTTTAGGCAACGAAATCTATGCGTTCCTAAATTCAAACGACACAATCATCTAAGCAGGTGAATGAACAGCTCAGGGCACTGACAAGCCCTGGGTTCTGATTGTGTGAAAGGATTTCAGACACATCAAGAACAAGAGTAGCCTATGTGTGCTGAGCATCAGTGTTATTGGTGATGGTTAGTGCACCTTCCCTCAGGCAGGCAGCATCTGAAACACTACCAGGCAGGCAGCACCCCATGGCCAAGCACAATAAAGTGCAAAGATCAGAGGGGCCACATGCAAAACTGTTTGGTAAACTTGTGACTGTGGGGAATGTAATCATGAATAAGCTATATGATTGCTAAATAAGCCTTGTAAAAAGTATACTACAACCTACTTAGAATCACATGATCAGGATGTTTTTGATGGACATGACAAATATAAAGGAGCACACTGACACATGCATTGCTATTGAAGAGGAATGTATTATGATCTTGTTGGTTCAGAAAATCTTGCTGCAGCAGACGTTCAATAGTTGCCTGACAGTTCTCTGAATGTCCCATTCGCTGCGGTCAAAAGAAGGAAATCTGCTTCCTCCCTAAAATCGAAGTTTCATAATGGGCCCCACTGACACCCCACAACCCCCTTGCTCCTGCCCCCCCCCCCCCCCCCCCAAAAAAAAATACTTCGGCCATCCCGGTCGGCGAATCTAAATTGTTTTTGAGGATTTAGACGGAAGCCCTAGAATGCAGGTTTTACCATAACAACAACAAAAGCTTTATCTCAACCCAGATATTATATTGTTCAGTTCGTGCATTTGGCATGGGTGAGAAACCGGTTGTGAACTAGCTGTCGAATACACACGACTACTCCACTAGCGTATTACTCTAGAACACAAAGAGAGTCAGGCCCTGACAAAGTTTGTGATAAATGCTAGAACAATGGAGTAAGAGTTGCTCTCCTTGCGTATTCAATTCAATGGGGCTGATGGAAAAATGATAATAAAATGTGTTGAACCGTGCGTACTTACACTGCGAATGTTTCTGTTCAAGGGGTTCAACGCGAGAGAAGAGGGTGGGGGGAAAGGAATTTACTGCCAAATGCGAAATAAACTGAGTGGAAAATGTTGAGGAGCACATAACTGGGAATTGATAGAAATAAGATCATTTATTTTATAATACACGTACGATGTAAAATATCAAACAGCCTATTTGACCCAGAAAATAGAGGCATGCATGCGTGCCTTTATGGGCGCAACTTTACTCTACACCACGAAGTTTTCCTCTAATTATTTAACCAAATGTCGAACCGTCTAAAACATTTCGTTTGTTATTCAAGAAAATATTGATACAGAAATGGCAGTAGTATCACTACGATAATTTAGCCGTTCGAACTGGCATGTTAGGTTACTTTTAAACTTGACAATGTTGTCCAAAGTGAACAAAGAAGTATTTTCCCACAAGGCTGCAAGTAGTTACTGCCCAACTGCTGCATATGCTCGCTCCCATAGCCCAGGCCGGACAAAAACTGAAGACCCCGTTTTCACCGGCCGTGCTACTCACACAACTCATTATTCTTGGCTAAAGTTGCACAATGCCCCCGCAAAACATATGCCGGGCAATATCATAATATCGTTCACAAATATACAGCGTGTGGTGTGTTTACCTTTCAGTAACCTCTTTAATTATGTGGCATCCAACAGGAAAAAAATGAACGCTTGGAGTAGAGAAAAACAAAGTTGGGGATATATTCCCTCTCTGTGCTCCGGACTGTAGATGAAGAGCGAACGACGATATCGTGTGTTCTCCCAAACCTTTATTGGTTCGTTATACAGTCCACGTCACGAAAATGAAACAATGTATACAAATATCTTCATAACTCTTGTGATATCTCAATCGATTCTTTAAGTTGCTACAATTGTAACCATTTTATCTTCCGAGTAGACATGTTAACAGCCTCCACATTGTCGGTTCCAAACGATTATCCCTCCGCGGCTTACGAGGACCTTAAAACACCAGTGGTGTCCGATTTCAAACGCCCTACAACTAGACACTGCCGTTTTAAATAAACATCCAGTAACACATCGATATGGTGAAAAACTAAAATACTGTACAGCATCAGTGTTATTGTCGTTGCATTAAAATGACATATTTTTTAAATCGCAAACCATGAGAACTACGTCAACTTGCGGAGGGAGACTGCGGAAAACCGAAGAGTGACAGACCAGAAACAGTGTGAGATGGAACGATAATACCGCAGACGCACAACCAATGGTATGCCACGAGAATCTGATTGACAGTAAGAAAGTCCAAATATATATCGACATTATTCGTTGGGCCTGCCTCCAATGTTACCCCATCATGGATCCGCTATGGTCCGTGCTTTGGACAGCATTTCATTTTAATAATGTGTTTAACTGCAATAACAGTGAATTATGCAGTTATTGGTAAAGGCTTAACTTGAAAACCATTGCAAACTATGTATCTTCATATTAGATACAACAACAAGCCATACATATAGACTATTTGCACAGGGCCTATACAATTCAGTCACAAAT